CCCCAAAACCCCAAAACCCCAAAACCCCAAAACCCCAAAACCCCAAAACCCCTTATAAGTCTACCGAATTTGATCTTTATATAATTAAATCTATTGTTAGGATATGGAAGGAGAAGATAAAGAGTTCACAGAACTTAAAGAAAGGTAACCACCCATGAATAGGTCTACCTAGTAGCTGTCATGCCTAGCTAAGCTAGTATTATAGTCCATATTTGGTTTAGAGCCCATACTGAGTTAGATATACGGCAAAAATATCCGAATTTCTTTGGAAAGATATTTTACGATTAGATGCTAAACCCATTAGCTCTTTGACACCTAACCTACTTAGCAAATACTTGATCTATAATAACCATAGATAGCTCATACGAATGGTTTTTCTTCTTCTCTCTAACTTGAATTGTCTAATATCTAAAACACAGAGTCAACAAGACACTTGAGGAAAGATACCCAAATTGGAAAGAGCCAATCGAAGAGCTCAAGGCAATGGACCAATACCTGACCACTTGTGCTGAGCACGACTACCCATCTGAAGGTGCCAAGGAGGAAGAGTAAGTCCACCCATGCCTTCTAACATCCTTCTAGAAAGGACATGCTTGATCCCAAAATCTATAAAGGAATTTGCAACAAGCTCAGCAAGATCAATATATACGTGAAGGAAGAGGTAAATCCCCTGTCTCAGTCATAGGTTATTCCTGAAATCATTCAGGTTTTTAAAACTCTACTCGGGATCTTCAACTCAGAGATCTCTTCAGGGAGATGCCACCCTGAGATAATGGAGGCTAGCGAAGTCTTATTCAAAGTCAATGAATCCTTCTTCCGATCTCATCGGATTGAAGCTCCTGAAAAGAAAACTAAAAAGAGCGAAAAAGAGAGTGAAGAGAAGGATACCAAAGATGATACAGACAAGAAGGAAGATAAAGAACAGACCGGTGAGACAGAAGATGTCAAAAACTGGGGCGCTCCTGATGACTCACCTGAAAAGACCAACAATAATGCTGATCTGCTAGGATTAAATTCTGATGACCCTGAGATTGCAGGCCATGAAGCGGCTATAGCAAAGCAAAACCAAGACGAGATGGCTGCAGAAGATACTAAAGCTGGTGAGAAAACCGAAACTCCTGATGGAGACGGAGACACTGAAGAGCTAGGTAAGATACATTCTCATGGCAATATAGATAAAACTGGAAATCAAGCTGATGATGAATATGAAGATCAGTCTAAATACTTTGAAGATGGAGCATATAATAATGCAGATACTACCTTTACTCCTGACAAAAAATATGACTATGAATATGATGATAACCTTTTATGTATGATTTATACAGGACCTGAATTCGAACTAGGAGAGCTCGTTGATGCTTTGAAGACAGAACAAGAAGTTACAACCCAGACACTCACTTGTTGGGAACAAGCTAAGGTTGTGGAAGATAATCCAAATTACTATGTTATTCAATTTATTAGAGACTATCCTAATTTCAAAACTATACAAAAGGATGTGTTTAGAACTATGATGTTCAAATACGAGACTCACACTCGCCATAACCATTGGAGATATTGGGCTCCAGAAAGAAAATTAAACTTAATGGTAGAAGTGTACCATCAAGACAGATGGCAGTTGGCCAAGATCATGTCTACTTGCGATAGCATTAACGGAGAAGTAGATATGGCTAATCTAGTGACTTTCCCTGACCCTGACAACGTAATTGATATGAGCAAGTCTGATTTCCCTCAATACCCTATTCGTAGCCCAAGGATCAGACTTCCGAACGGTAAGCTCTAGCTACTTCTGACATCTCTTTCACCTTTGCTTTAACCTTTTCCTCCTCTTTAATTCCTTAAATGGTAAAATTTGTTCCAAGATCTTATAAAAAATTGCAGCTTAGGCCACTTTCACTATAAAACCCTCAGTTAGCTTGATCCGTCCTTTTACTTGAAAGTTGTGCAAGCCGGAATTTTAAGGTGGTTAGTCTGGATTTTAGCCATGATCTTAGATTCGGTAGAAGGATTGAGAATTTTGGGGTGTGAGAGAGTGGGTTTTAAGTAGTATTTCGGGTTAAAGTCCGATTTTACTTGAGACATAGTAAAAAAGAAATTATGGAAAAATAACCTCTTATGGCTATTTTATAGAGACAAAGATTGGTAGAAAATACTTTTGGTTCATAGCAAAAGTAATTCGATAATATATTTATCTAAATCATTTTTAATGATTTAGCTTGTAGCTTTAGTGATTAGCTGAATACATTATCTCAGCAATTCTCTATCCCTTTGGTCCAATGCCAGATGAAGCTGAATTTTTAAAATTTTGTGCTTTATTATAATTCAAGGGAAACTTAAAAACTAAACTGTTAGATTATTTGTCTCTTTGTATATCAGTAACTAAGATTCCAAAATCTATTATTACATCCCACAGTTTTAAGGTTGATAAATAATACTTAAATTTGTAATATTAAAAGCCTCCAACATTCAGCAGCATTACAATTCTGTATAGGTCAAGTTAGGTATCTCGGTCATGCACCTGATCATGGCACTACAGCTGGAACAGAAACTTACCCCACGAACGTTGGGACTTATGGAGGAAGTAACTCTACCAATAGTGATGGCAAAACAAGTATTCATGTTTTGTTGTGTCAGGAATTCGTCAGAATTGGTACTCATCAAGCTATTGTTGAAAGAATCTCTAATAAAGAGAACCCACTCCCCATCGAACAAGTAGTTGCTTTCTTGAACATTCTCGTTGTAATCATTGTGTATATAAGAGAGCACACTGATTATGATTCTGAGCTCCAGAGCTTCAACCAAATTGTCTTAGCTACATTGGAAGACTATGTCGAGAATGACCTCATTCTTCCAAGCATCAAAGAATTTAAGCACGAATACTTCAAAGCCATCAACCAAGCTATTGTAAAGTTCAGACTTGGAAATGAATTTAACCAGAGAATGGCAACACTTATCATAGAGTGTGCTAAGAGATGCCTTAATTCAGCATACCTCAGTGTCAGAGTTCAAGGATGCAAGGAGATTGAGTCAAGGTGCTCTACTGCTCACAGATCTAACACCTCTCATCTGAGCAAAGACGAATTAGCTGAGTGGCTTTCTAAGAACCAGATCATTAAATCTATTTTTGGAGCAAACCACCACTCTGAGCTGATAAAAAGGTCTGAATATATGCTGAAGATCCTCTCTCGTTCCAAAATTGGTATCAGTGAGGAAGAGATAAAGCTGATCTGGAATCTCACCAAGAGAGATAAACAGACAAAGAAAGAAATTTATACAATCCTTGGAAAGGTTGGTGATCTCATTAATGATGAAGCAAAGGTGTTTATCTTTGATAGACTGAAAGAGTACGATAATTTCCTGATCGATGACATCAATTTCCTCTACTCTTTCAAAAAGAACACCGACTTTCAGCTAGAGTGTACTTGGAAAATCTTGAACAACAGCTCCAGCTATGAACAAGAAGTTGTCCAAAGCGCATTCTCAAAGCTTGAGGATATGATGAAATTCTCCTCGATGGAGAAGAAGCTTGACTATATAAACAAGAGTATCGCTAAGTTAGCCTCAGGAGATATGTCTCTAGTCTTGATTAGAATTCTCAAGGCAACATTGAAGAATATCAACCTTGCCACAGCTAGAGTCCAAAACATGGGTGATCAATTTGAAACAGCTAAAGATGAGCTTCTTCTCAAATTTTACGAAGTAAGAATTTTCTATTAATTTTTAGAACTTTAACACTTACTGTGAGACTGTTGAAGAAATATGCGTAAAAGACGATAGAAGAAGGTTCAACGCTGCTTATGAATGTTTTGTTGATACATTCAATCATGAAGAGCACTTAAAGGAAAAGCTAGCATTTATTTCTGAGCTGTACAAACTCTATAAAATCACTATTACGAAAGAGCATATTGATCTACTCTGGAAATGCCTGTCAATGACTCGCATTAGACTTAATATTGAACTGTACTTCAAATGGCTAAATGACCAAATAGAAGCTTATAACTCAGATAAATTCTCCTTCCTTACTGGAGAGATTATTGAGTACTTTTTCACAGAGAGGATTCTCAATGAACAAAACAATTACTCTCTTATGGAGACAGAAGGTTTCGCTCTGTTCAAGTCTTTGTTCAAACTTGTGAATGAAAAATACCATAAACTCCAAATCTTGAACGCAACCAGAGGGAAAACAAAGCACCAGACCATAATCACAAATGGAGCGACCATTACTTCAACTACTTACGGAAATGTTAGCCAGAAGAAGGAATTCATCATCTATGTCCACCCTGACCAATTGCTCGGCATAAACATCGTGTGGAGAATTATGATGGAATGCAACAACATTGCTGTCACTGCTGACTGAATGATCTTCATCGGAAACCTCTACTCCAACATCAGTGACTCAATCGAAGACCAAAGAATGAGTATTGAAGAAGATCTTGTGAAGATAAGTTTCCAACAGATCAACGAACTTGAGAAGAAAATTAATCAGCCCATCCCTGAAAGCTATGGTGAAGCTCAAATCGCTCATTGGAATATGCAAAAGGATAACCTTCAGAAGCAAATCGAGAGAAACTTCATGCATATTAAGAGTTTTATGAATAACTCTGAAGTCTGCGGATTGGACGGGTTCGTCTCCTTTGATCCAGGATATAAGATCTCATTCACTGTTCTCAATAAGATTTCATGGGGAAAGGGATGCCATACCAAGAAGGGTGTCCCAACTAAATTTAGATTCTACGTTTTCCAAAACATCACTCTCTGGGACTTAAAGAGATACATCATTGACAAATTAAAAATGGACCAAAAAACCTTGAAGATTGAAAAGATTGGAATTCATTCAAAAGAGTTCAAAGACTCTGAAAACTCCAGAACTCTTAAGCAGCTAGGTATTGAAGATGATGACAAGCTCTCAGTTACTGCAAAAGTATCAGCTAATACGTTTGACCATCTCAGTCTAATGTTCTCAGATGGAACCTTAACTCCTGAAGCATCGAGAATGTTTGAAGAGGTCTTTAATCTTTACACTACTGAGGAAGGGGTAATGAACAGAGAAGGAGCTGCTAATTTCCTCAAATTGTGCACTAACCAGAATACTAAGCTTGACGATCCAAGAGTGAACAGACTTTTTGACTCTTATAACCAGGCTAAAGATGAGAGACTTACTTGTGACGAGTTCAAACAATTCTATATCGACTCAATCAAGAGTAAAGAGCAAACTGTCTGGTCCAACATCAGAGCTTGGAGTTATAAGACTGATCTGAAGCATGGAACTGAGAGGTCCGAAAGAGAAAGATCAACTTTACTAAGATATAAAATCCCTCAAAATGAGGAAGACTTCAATTCCATCCTGAACCTGCTTGAAAATGAGAACAATGAAATTGCTGGATCTGCATGGAGGTTCCTTTCTGAGCTGTGCCTTAATCCAGAGGTTATAGAGAAAATTATAACTCTTGATTTGTTTGAAGATCTTGAAAACAAGTGGTTGGAGAGTTCAAATCCTTACAAGCTTATTTATGTACTCAGAATAATCCACTTTTTCCTACATTATGAGCTGAACGCTCAGGCTGAAGTAAGAGTGATGTTTAAAGATGAAGATAACACAAGCGACAAAGACCTAAATGTTGTAGGAAGCTCAATCCTAAAACCAGTCGGATCAGGAATTCCTCCTCCAGAGCCAGCTGTGCCTGTAGGAATTCCCCCAGAGAGTAATGCTTTATCAAGCGAAGGAAAGGCTCATAATATTGTATCAGCATCTGCAAATGCTCCTCCACCTCCACCACCCCCATGTGGGCCAAATCTACCAACAATCAATGTACAAGGCCCAGAAGAGAAGAAAGTTCAATTTAACGAAGAACCTGAAGAATATAACGTCAATGTGTACCCTCCTGGTGGAGAAGTAGTCGAAGACTACCAAATGGAGGTAGAGGAGAACATCCAGACTGACACTAAGCCTGATTCCAAAGTTGAATCAAGTTCTAGCAAACCAGATGAAATTAAAGAAGAAAATTACACAGACCATATGACCCTACCTGTCATGGAGATCGCTGAAAAATATAAAGAGCATATGGCCAATTGGGTCTCGAAGTTTATTGAGAAAGGAGGCTACGATTATGTATGAGACTTGTACCTCTCTGATGATAGTCCTATCTCAGTAAAACTCAACAACATCTCCATAATGACTGAAGAAGAGAAATCTTGTAGTAGACTACTTCTTGAGATAATCGGTGTCTTCAATATCGTTGCTGCTTATGTCAATGATGAAACAATTCCTAAAGACCTCGAATCCCAGAAAGCTTTAGATCATGCCCAGCAAGAATCTGATTACTATAACATCGACGAAGACGAGGTGATGGATGCCGATCAGCCTAAGAAAATGAGGACTACCTCTTCAGCCAACAAAGAGATTGATGAAATAATTCTTATTAAAGCAAAGATCAGTCTATACCATGAGATTAGCAGTCCTACCTTCTGCAAGTCCATCACTCCAAAGTTTGCAAAGAGAATCATCGAGAAATTTAACTATGAAAAATTTGTCAAGAGAACACTGAAGACATTAAACGAGATTCTCTCTACTAGAAATCTTTCTCAGATGGATAAGGATATTATAAATCAGAACATGAAGGTTACTCAGAACTTATTCCTTTATGATGAAAGAAGTCTTAGCATATTATATAACTTCAAGGATGAGGAATCCAATACTGACCTGAAAGATTTCATTATCAGAGGAATGACCTTCAGCACTGACCAAGAAATCAAGAGCATATTCATGAATACTCTTTGGTTCATCTGCCAAAAGATCATGCATACAGAGAAAGAGAGACTCCCCTTAATGGTCATCCTCGAGATTTTAAAAGAACATTTCTTCAGCAACATTAAAGACAGTGTGAGATATTATGGCTACGAAGAGTTTTACAACGGATTCTGCAACCTTCTCAGAGAGTACTTCAAGGTCAGAAAAACTCCTAATAAGAAGTTCGAAAACATTCTTGATCCCCGAATCTTCCTGAGACAGCTTGTTCTTGTCCTCAAGGATTATCAGACCAAGGAGAAGAGGAACACGATACTAGAAGACCATAATTTGATAGGTATGTTTGACATTATGTCATGTATTCTCTCAGAAATGCCTGAATTAGTAGAGCCTTTTGCTCTTGAATTTGGGCTACTGGATGAACTCTGGAAAAACTGTCTTTTCCAAGAAACTGTTGAAGCTCCTAAGATTGATTACACAACTCAAATAGAACAGAATAACTGTAAGTTGACATATTTTAATGAAATAGCTGAACTCCATACTAATAAATGCAACACTAGAACTAGCAGAGCAAGGGCTTTCTCTCTTTTGACACTTTTGACCACTAACTCTGCTAAGGTTAGAGAAAGTGTATACACAGACTGCCTCTACAAAATGGTTTCATGTTTGGAAAGACCTGAAAATTTTGCCACTAAATCCGAATCCGAAGCTAGATTATATAGTTATGCAGGATTGAAAAATCAAGGAGCTACTTGCTACATGAACTCAATGGTCCAGCAATTATATATGATCCCTGCATTCAAGTACTTGTTCCTAGCAGTCGATGATGGAAAAGACGAGAATTATGGTAAGATTTCGAAGTGAATTTTATAATTATTTCTAGATACTAACAACATTGAGGATGAGAAATCCCTCTACCATAATAAAAAGATTGATGATAACTTGTTACACCAGTTCCAAAATACTCTAGCTTTCCTTGAGCTCACTGAGAGACAGTATTACAATGCCTTAGGCTTGTGTTTTGCCATGAAGGATTACTCAGGAATGCCAACAAACTGCTCGATGCAGCAAGACTCTCAAGAATTCTTGAACCTCTGCTTCGATAGGTTGGAGAACTTGTTAAAGCCTACACCTCAGCAATATGTTATCCAGGATATTTTCGGAGCAAAGCAATGTACTCATATGACTTGTGACTCATGCGATTATGTAAAATCAAGGATTGAGGACTACTATATTCTTTCAGTTCCTGTAAAGGGCTTTAAGAGCCTTGAGGAATCATTCAACTCATACACTGACGGAGAGATAATCTCAGACTTTACTTGTGACAACTGAGAGCAGAAAGTTGACATCAAGAAGAATTGCTCTTTAATCAATATGCCAAATATCCTCATGATTCATCTGCAGAAAATCCATTTCAACGTAGAAACTTTGATGAACGAGAAGGTTGGAGATAAGTACGAGTTCCCAACTCATCTGGATATGAAGAACTACATGATTAATAGCATTGCTGAAAAGCATGGAATCAAGGATCCTGAGCTACATAAATATGCAGAGAATAACTCTAAAAACTTCGAGTATAGGCTTGTCGGAGTTATCATCCATCAAGGAGTTGCAGACGGAGGTCATTACTATTCTCTGATTTGCACTGATTCAAATATTCACGACCCAAAACTAAAGGAATGGCTTCCAACTGAGAACATGAAATGGACTGAGTTTAACGACACTGATACCAGAGATTACAACTTCAGATCGAATTTTCAAGACGATTGCTTCGGAGGAAAGAGTAACAGTTACGGCCCTGCTCTCCCTAGCGAGTTCCAGTCTTGGGGAGGAGCTGGTGCCAGCAGCAAGAGCGCATATGTATTAATCTACCAAAAGAGAGAATTCAATGACATCAGGCTCCAACTTGATATTGAAACTGTCAGAAGTCAAGGTAAGACACCAGCAGAGCAGAAAAAGATTTTTGAAGATGAGAAAGATAGCTATCTCCGTAGCATCTACTCCTCCTACAACCATTCCAAAAAGGAAGAGGAAAAAGAGGAAGATATCGAAGAAGATCCTCAAGTCTTAGAAGATAGATTTATGTCTTCTCTAGAATGCGGAGATATCGCAGTTCCTAGAGATATTTTCCCCTATTTAGTAATCCCAAATAGAATTTCTGTATATCTTTCAAAGGAAGAAAAAGAAGACAGAAGATTTATGAGCGTCAAATATGACAAGGAAAAGAAAGAATGTGTTTTGCCAATAAAATTCATGGATGTCTACAAATTCATCCCCTATAAGATCTATAAGGTAAGTAGCTTTGTAGTAGTAGCTATGCCTGGCCATTTTTCATCAGTTTTTAGAACATTTGGAATGATAACAACGTATTCTCGTCAGAGAGACAAATCAATAATATCAACTTCTTGCAGTTCTTCAAGAACACGATTATTGAGGTATGAATTTTGTGATATTTTGTAGGAGAAAATCATTGAACAGCAAGACAACCAGGAGAAATTATCGTTATTATACGACCTCTGTGTCAAAATGATCTTTGACATGCTCGTATATGCATTCAATAATGAGTCTATTATTGCAGTATCTGAAGTTTTCACACAAATCTTGCAATTATCAAAAGACTCGATTGTTAAATTCTCTGATTTTATCATGGAAGATAATGGTTCAGAATTCATTAGAATTCTCTTCAAATGAGGAGAGTCTGCAGTCAGGGAGAGCGTCTCAAAGATCCTCAGCACTGCTATCAACAGAATGTTCGATGACATCGAATTGATAGAGAAAGCAGAGCAGTTTATGACCTTCATGATCAACTCAATCCACACCCAGGCTTCAGCAAATTGGACTAAGTTTGAACAATTCTTTAACTTCATTCACAAAGTTGCAATCGGAGGAGAACCTCAGCTTCAATACATGAAGAAGCATCATGTTGAGACATTGCTCGCTGACTTCTTCTTGGCAGAAAGGTCTCCTATTAGGCCAAAAGAGGAGAAGAGAATGTGTATGGGAAATAGCTACTCAAAGCCCATGTACGATTCACTTGTCCAGACCATTTGCTATTTATCCAGGCATACAGACCCCAGAGAGGAAGGACAGGAGAAAATGCCCTCAACTATAATGGATGGAGAAATCTTCGCACCAGGTGAAAATGAAAAAACTGTCATTGTTAACAAGCACTTTGGAACTAAAGCCATTAAAGATGCCTTCGAAGCTGAATCTGTTGGAAAACTAATTGCTCATTGGAGTTATGAGAACGAAGAGAACTCAGCTATATTTGCAGGAGTTTTCCTCAAAGGAATTAACGAAACAGAGTATGAAGAGGTAGCTCCATTCTTAACAGCAATGCACCACTTTTTGGCTCTTGAGGATAGTATACAAGACAAAAGATATGAATGGCTACTCGGAACACCCATGCTTTTAGATGGATCAACTATCAGAGTGAGTCCTCCAGAATTTCCAAAGATAGGAATTCCAGCAATCCAGGCTCTCTCTGAAGAGATCTATTATTATCCAAGTACTTTGAGATCTCCTGATTCTATTGAAGAAAGTATTCTGTCTTTGATTTTCAGATCAAAGAAGAGGTTTGAAAGCTATACCTTATTCTGCATAAAGGAGCTATTGGTCCTAGGAGAGAAAACCATGAGATACGTCCACAACATGCCACCTCCAACATACCAGTACGCTAGGTACACAGATTGGATCTTCCAATTTGTAAACGATAAGCTCAAGTCCAAGGCTAAGAGCAATGATCAGCATAGGGAGCTCCTTCTTGAAGTCAAGGAGATGCTGGACAAATACCAAGAAGACTCTAAGCTATACGAAGATCAGATTAAAGAGGACCACAAAGCTGTAAGTTCATTGTTTATATTTATAGAAATATCATCTCAGTGATGAAGACATGATAGTCGACCCTTCCACTCAAAAATCAGAACAAACAGAAGACTCCAAAGAGGAAAAGATAGAGACTGGAGATGATCAAGATGAAGAAAAACCAGTTTATAGCGCTTTCCCTAAACCTTACCTCATCAGAAAGGTCTTGAAAGAACAAGAAATCTTAGTAAAAAGTACAGATGATCTCAGAATTGTGCTCTCAGAGCTAGAATGCGAGTGGACATGGGCAAAGCCTATGGGCACCACTATAAAGACAGCACCTTTCCTGGATTACTACCTTCAGAGGAAAAAGAATATTTCGTTATGGAACAAGAAAGTCACAGTCAACAAGTCTGGTTTGAACAACACAGACATCAATGAGCCAGCGGTTGATATCAAAGACCCTATCTTCAGTAAGAAAAAGGACATGGAGGATGAACCAGAAAAGACCACTTTAGTCCCTATCGGGGAGGAAGAAGAAGATGCGACTGAGCAAAGACATCCGGGAGGAAATAACCAAGAAGTCAATGAAGATAACAATGAAGATGACGACGAAGATGATGATGAAGTTAACGCTGTAAAACTCATTATTTAATATATATAGTCCCTTAATGATAGAGTAAGAGACTTTGATGTTGAAGCTGTTCATGGTAATTAAACTTTCATAATCTATGTAGAGCAAGAATTACAAGAAATGAATAACCCTGTCGTTGAAGATGAGCCAATCCCTGAACTTGCTGAAAATATTCAAGATAATCAGGAAGATGAGGGACAAGATACTGAAGAGATGGTTGAAGATAACCCAAATGGGCCTCATTTTGAAAAGAGCCCAGTAGTGATGAGGCTTGCTGTGTACAATTTTGGAGCCCATAAAGCCAAGCTAGAAATTCAATTGAAGACTGAGACTGATGCACCGAATATTTATGTACCTTTGGATAAGATCAAGACTGATGTATATTCCTCCAAGAATAAAGCAGTCTGTTACTTCCATAAGATTCATCCAGAAATCCCATTTGGTGAAATTTCATTCGAATATGTAGAGATCGATAAGAAGGAACCAGAAGAAAAGCCTGCTGCCGCAGACCAACAGACTGGTACTGCCGTTGGAACAGGTACAACAGGAGAAAGCACTAATATTGGGGTTGAAAACGAGTTTGATGGTTACCAAGATGAAATCAGTTGTTCAGCCTGTACTCTCTTGAATCCATTAAGTGCCCACAAATGTTCAATCTGCGGAGCTACACTTCCACACAGAGCATAAAGATGTTATCAAAATAATTTCAGTCAAACTTACCACCCTCGGGGTTTTGGGGTTTTGGGGTTTTGGGGTTTTGGGG